GGCCCTCAACACAAGGAACACAGGTGGGGGCAGGCCCCGGAGGAAGGGAGGGAGGGACGGGGGGAGACCTGAGACAAGGACACGGGAGGCCATACCTCGGAGACGAGGCAGGGAGGGGTGACCAAGGTGGTGGTGCCAAAGAAGAGTCTCGTGTGACAGAGGACGACACGAGCAGGGGGCATACGCCGGACTAGACCTGGACGCAGCAGCAAACACCTGACCAGACGCGGCTACCTGACCAGACGCAGTGACAGGAGGAGACACAGTAGTCAGTGTGTAGAGGCTCGACCCAGGCCGACGGGTGAACGTGGCCAGGTGGCGGCCCGTCCGAGAGCAAGTACAGTGGGTCACACGCTGACCTCCCGGGGTGAACTGGTCAACCCACACGTCCTGGAGGTCAGCTCCACTCACCAAGTTCGTAGAGAACGAGGGGAGGTGGAGTCCCGACAGTAAGCCCGACGGGGCCGCAGGACACGGTAGAACCGTGGAGGAGTGCGCAAGGACTGGGCCCCCAGAGGGGTCAGCCAGGGAGACTGCAACCGGCCGACTGAGCGGCGTGAGTGTCGTGCTGTCACGAAAGAAGGAGCGCGAAGCACCTGAGTCAAGTGTGAAGGTGTGCAGGGCCTCAGTAGGTGCAGTACCAGAGAGAGCAGACTCACCAGCACCTGGAGCAGTAGACTCACTAGCACCTGGAGCAGCAGACTCACTAGCACCTAGAGCAGCAGCCTGAATGCCCGGGTCGGGCGGAACACACAGGTAACAGTCACCCTCAGCACTATCAGTCACAGCATACATGGCAGCAAGGATAGCATCGAAATCAAGATCAAAGATAGCAACATTCTGCTTCAGCAGATCACCCCAGCGGGGGAGCTCAGCGCCGTCAGGAAACTGCGCACGCCAGGCGTCAGTCAGGCGACCGAAGCAGCGCTGCGAAGTGTGCGGCAGTCCGCACGTCTCTCCACGGCGCCCGCCTGTGCGAAGAATGTAAGTGCAGGGACCAACACCCCCAGCCCTCCCACGCCCAGCGTACCACTCACGAATCTGCTGGGGCGAAAGGGTCTCACGGGAACGCGGCTGCTGCTGGCGCTGGCTACCGCCAAAGCCTCCACGCGGTGCGGTACCTCCTCGGCCAGCACCACCTCCGCCTCCACCGCCTCCACCTACACCGCCGCTGCCGCTGCCTCCACCACCTCCACTGCCGCCCCCACTCCCGCCACCACCCCCACCGCCACCGCCACCCCCTCCGCCCCCTCCACCGCCTCCACCGCCGCCCCCTCCGTCCCCTCCACCACCCCTGCCCCCCTTGCCCTTGCCGTAGCGGCGCCTCCCACTAGGAGCAGACGCAGCCCCGACCTCCTCAGTGCCAACGAGGTCGACAGCAGCAGCAGAAGCAACAGAGGGGAGAAGGGGGACGGGGGAGCACCCCTCAAAGAAAGGGGCGCGAGGGTCGCCGCGAGAAGCACCTACAGCAACAATACTCTTCTCTGCTGCAGTAAGGCGCTCCTCAAGCAGGTCGACGGTGAGCTCAGTGGGGCAAAGGGAGAGAAAGTGGTCCCTGACTGAAGAGAGGGAGTCAGGGAGACGGGTGACTAGGTAGTAGAGAGTGATGTACATGGGAGGGGGGTTCTTGGCACAGAACTCAGTGGGAAGCGCAGCGCGGTAGCGGGTGTCACTAGTGCGGAGGTGAGTAATGAGGTCAGCGACTATGGCAAAGGCAGCAAGGTCAGGGAACAGGTACGGCAGCATGAGGAGGCTGAGAGCAGCAGTGGCAGGGGAGGAGTAGCGCGCGACAACAGCGTCATACAAAGACTTTGCAGTCTTGTACTGGCCAAAGTGCGCGCGCTCAGCAGACGGCAGGTGACTACGAACAGCAAGACGAGCAACAGCGTCACGAGTAGTCCACTGCGAGCGAACCGTACTGTCAGCAGTGGCAGCAGGTGCAGGAGAGACACCGGACGTGTGATCGAACAGGGAGACTCCGTCCTTGGAGTCGCACTGGAGAAACAGCTGTAGGTCGTCTACCCAAACCTTGAAGTCAACAGCACGACCCTCAGCATCAAAGGTAAGAACAGTGGGACTAGCCATAACTGCAGAAGCAGCAGTAGCAGCAGAAGCAGCAGTAGCAGCAGTAGCAGCAGAAGCAGCAGTAGCAGCAGTAGCAGCAGAAGGAGGGCAGTGCGGCTCAGTAGGGCGGCGCGGCTCGGTAGGGCTGCGCGGCTCGGCTGGGCGGCGCGGCTCGGCTGGGCGGCGCGGCTCGGCAGGGCGGCGCGGTGCGGCAGGGCGGCGCGGCTCGGCTGGGCGGCGCGGTTGCTTACCAGGGGCGGGTGCAGGGCAGGGCCGCAGCTGGCGGTGAGGTCAGGGCCGCGACTGGGGCAGCAGCAGGGCAGGGCCGCGACTTGGCGGCGGAAGGGCAGGGCCGCGACTGGGGCGGCCGAGGGGTAGGGCCGCGACGTGTCGGCGGCAGAGCAGGGCCGCGGCTGGGCGGCGGTAGGTCAGGGCCGCGACGAGCAGCGGCAGGGCAGAGACCGCGGCGGGCGGCAAGGTCAGGGCCACGACGAGGGGCGGCAGGGTAGGGCCGCGACGGGCGGTGAGGGTAGGCCGCGACGGGCGGCAAAGCAGGGCCGCGGGCGGCGGCAGGGCAGGGCCGCGACGTAGGGCGGCAGGGCAGGGCCGCGACGTAGGGCGACAGGAGAGAGCCGCGACGGGCGGCAAAGCAGGGCCGCGACGGGCGGCGGATTAGGTCGCGACGGGCGGCTTAGGCAGGGTCGCGACTAGCGCGACAGCAGGACAGGGCGCGCGACGGCGCAGGAGAGGCAGGCGCGACAGCGCGCTTCGGGCAGGAAGGAAATTTTCAGTGGTGGGCCCTAAAAAAAATGTTCCCACGAGGGAACCTGCTCAGAATACCATGTCAGAATGAGAACGAAGGAATGACTGAACTAGAAAGCAGGTGGGTACAAGTAGGAAACCTAAAAGTGTTGTACCCTATATCAACTACCCCACTACCGCCTACACAGACTATAGCATATATGTTTGACATGCTGGCGGTGACCGAATCCTTCGGCTGATATACCTCAACGAGGTGCCTCCAGGCTTCCAAGGCTGGAGCGGCGCTCTCTTTGTAGGAGCGAATGCTAAGTTGTTCCGCAGGCGTCATATTCCGAAGCAACACACTGTATGCCATGAGGGACTCGCTGTAGTACTGAGCCTGGCGTCGTCGGTGTCTTCCACCGGTTTTGCGTAGGAGCCGTCGAAGTAATGGTAGATCTGCGCTGTTTGTAGGAGGAGCTCAAGCTCGAAACTCCATGTATAGAAGTCCTTGCCGTCAAATGCGGCGGTAGTCTTAATTTTTGAAACGCTGAGAAAGCGTGCTTGCGCAGAGTTGATAACTTCATCACTTGGACGGGGGGCAGTTGTTGTTTATTTGTCTGTGTCGAGGGAGAAGGTGTGCGCGGCGGTATCACGGCTTTTCGCGGCCGGTTGTCCAGGTTGAACTGGTTGGGAAGAGGTTCCCGCATCGCCTTTGTGCAGTTCTTGGAGGTCTTTCTCCATAGTTGATAGTCGCGAAAATAACTGCTCGAGTGCGGCAGTGCTGATCGTGGTTGTCGCCTCATTTGTCGCAGCCGGGTTGGTTTGTCCTTCGGCCGTCAGATTTGCTTGGCCTCCAGATCCTCCGGCCATCTTGGTCTTGGAGCGTGTGCCGCTCGCCAGATCTTGGTTCGGCGAATTTTACAGAATTGAAGTTGCGAAGAATCCCTGAGTAGCTCTCATACCATGTTACAATCCCAAGTGGGACTTAGCGAAGGATCGCTCAGGGTTGATCGCAGAGTAGTATTTGCAGCGGAAGATTGAATCTCAGGTCAGAGTGAATGTAAATGACTGAGTTGATAATAGCATGCATACATCGGGTTTATATAAGAATACAGGGGAATACGAAAAGACCTAGACTAGCCATGTACTCTAAGGGGTACATTCCCTTATTGCAGCGAATTCAAACCGTGCGGCGCGGGAACCTGTTTCAAATCTGTTCCCGCTTTTTTCACTTCGAATGTTTCTGCCTGCATCGGTCTTGATCAGACGGTTACCAGTGTCGCTTCGACTCTTCTGACTCCTCGGCTTCATTCACTTTAGAGTCGGTCCCTGTATCATACAGGAATGCCTTCTCATAAAGTTTCATATCGCAACACTTACAACCGTATGCATTCATAATAAGAGATTTTCTCGAAGTTAGAATCTGAGATTTAACAAAATTCCTAAATATCTGTCATGACAAGTAGGTCTTCCACATTTCTGTAAAGTGTGCAAAAAGTTTTCATTTACAGCTGAAGGGACTCAGTTTAGAACTACCCTACAACTGTATATAGTAATGATTCAAAACGCAATGAAGATGCATCCCTCCCTCCACCCAAACTCCATGGGCCGAACCATCTCGCCAACCATCTCGTCAATTTCTGGGCCGAACATCACACTCTCGGATGTTCCAGATTCTCTGACAGCATTCGCAACCCAACCTCGTCGGCATTCCCAATCGACACATGCTCTATACCTCCAGTAGAGAAGCGTTGCGGTTGCGGCTCGTCCCTCAATTGCTAATTAATCCCGTGTTACTAGCAACCAATTTAAGCGGAGTGGGGGCGTTGGGCAGGAAAGCCCGCGGGCGCGGCCCGAGTCCGCCACAACGACGCCTGCGAAGCACATGCTTGTGCCGTCCTGCCGACGACACAATTGGCCCATCGCATCGAAACTCGCAGAGGCTCTTCCAGATCGCGACTTGCGCTCAAATCACTCGCTCGCCACCTTCCCCCGTAAATGCCTCCTCCGTCGGACATCCGATCGCGTTTAAGCGCGTCAATTGCACCAAGCCATCGCTCCTCGCTTGCCGTGCAAAGCAATCGCTAGTAGCTCCTAATCGTCGACGTGCTTCCACCATCACCTCCGCTCATTATTCCCTCGCCTCGTGGGCCCTCGCCGCCGATTCCGGCGCGGCGGGGCTCGGCGCGCAGATGGAGATTTTCTACTGGCTGGTGTTCGCAGCGCTGCTGGCGCTGTGCGTGGCGCTAGAGGCCACTAAGGGGCAGCGGGACCGCGTGGTCACGTCTCAGGCGTTCGAAGCCTTTAAGAATAACTACCTCGTTATATACTGCTTCATGATGGGTGCGTGTGTCGCGTGGTGGGTGCGTGAGTCGCATGGTGGGCACTAACCAATGCCCCCAAGTCAAACTTGCTGCTGCTCGTGATCGCTGCTGCAGCCAGCCAGCGACTGGAATGACCTTGTTCCACTGAGGATCAAAGCATCTCCCTTACCATGCTCTCCCAGCTTAACAGCATACATCCCTGCTCCTCCCTCCAATCGCGCGCCCATGCCTCCTTCTCCCTGCTCCCTCCCACTCGCGCGCTCCATCCCCACACCTCTACCTCTCTCCGTGGCTGTTTCGCCCGCCGTGTGTGCCGTGAGCAGCGGGCGACTGGTTGCAGGGCCCGTACGTGTACGCGCTGTACCAGCACTATGGGTACTCGCACACGGAGATCGGGCGGCTGTTCGTGGCGGGGTTCGCTTCGTCCATGGTGTTCGGGACCGTTGTGGGGTCCCTGGCCGACCGCCAGTGAGTGCCGGGCGAGAGAGGCGAGCAGGAGAGGGCAGGAGAGGCAGGAGAGGGCATGAGATGGTAGGAGAGGGCGCGAGAGAGCGGGAGAGGGCGGGAGAGGGCGGGAGAGAGCGGGAGAGAGCGGGAGCAAGAGAGGGCAGCAGAAGGCAGAAGAGGGGAGGAGAAAGCAGGAGAGAGCAGGGAGAGCAGGAGAGAGCAGGAGAGAGCGGGAGAGAGCGGGAGAGAGTGGGAGAGAGCAAGAGAGAGGAGGAGAGGGCGGGAGAGAGAGGTATGGAGCGGGAAAGAACAGGAGAAAGCAGGAGGGAGCAGGAGAGCGGGAGAGAGCAAGAGAAAGCAGGAGAGGGCAGGAGAGAGCAGGCGAGGGCAGGGGAAAGAGCAGGAGAGAGCAAGAGAGAGCAGGAAAGAGCAGGAGAGAGCATTGTGTGGGGAGTAAAGCATGGCTTCCTGTCGTTTTCCCTCTTCTCGTGGGTGGCTCGTGGGCTTTCCCCGTCCCTCTCGCGTCTCATCATGGCCCTCGGCAAGGCCCCCACTGCACTCACACACACCTCTCCTTCCCCGTCTCTTCCGCCCCCCTTCCCCTCTCCCTTACCTCCCTTTCTCCCCTCCCCTTCCCCTCTCCATACCCTCCCTCTCTCCCCTCCCCTTCCCCTCTCCGTCCCCACCCCGCGCGTCTCCCTCTCCCCCTGGCAGCGGGCGGCGCAATGCGAGCATAACGTACTGTCTGGCGTACATCCTCTCATGCCTGACGAAGCACTCGCCCGAGTACCCCGTGCTCATGGCGGGGCGCGTGCTGGGCGGCATCGCCACGTCGCTGCTCTTCTCCGCCTTCGAGAGCTGGCTCATTGCCGAGCACTGCAAGGTGGGTGGGTCATGCACGCGGAGGGGGGAGAGGGGAGGGGGAGGGTGAATGGGAATGGGAGGGAGGAACCAAAAAAAAGGAAAGGATGGGGGAGGGGGGGGGGGGTTTATGGGGATGTGCTGATGGTATACCGCTGCTTCCATTGCCTTGTTCTCTGGTCCCCATCCCCTCTTCCCCATGCAAGACACCTGTATCAGCCTGCCTGTGCAGTCATTACTGGATCCATCCGTTCCCATCTTGCCTACCCACCCCCACTTGCTTCGCTACCTGCACACCTGTCCCCTGCCCTACTTGCCCCTCTCCTACCCGCCTGTCACTGCAACACAGTCCGTCTCCCCACGCCCACCACTCCCACCACCAACCCCCGCCCCTTCTCCACCACATTCGCCTCCTCTATCCCCCCCACCCTCACTCTCCCCCCCCCCCCTCTCACAGCGCGGCTTCGAGCAGCAGTGGCTGTCAGTCACATTCGCCCAGGCAGTCTTCCTGGGCAACGGACTAGTGGCCATCCTCTCAGGGCTCCTAGCCAACACGCTCGTGAGCGACCTGCGCCTGGGGCCTGTGGCGCCCTTTGATGCTGCCGCCGTGCTGCTGGCGGTGGGCATGACGGGCATCATGAGCACGTGGGGGGAGAACTACGGGGATACCAATGAGAGCAAGGGGCTGGTCGCGCAGTTCCGCTCCGCTGCTGCTACCATTCGGGAAGGTAGGGAGGGTTGGGATGGGGAATGCTGGGATGTCTGGATATGGTCCAGGTTTATCCTTCTCTTCCCACAGAAAGTCTTGGTCTTTCTACTTATATGCTTCAGCTCACTGCCTCTATTCTCCTCAACCCCCCCCTGCTTCAAGTCTTTCCTTCATCCCTAACGTCCCCCTTCACCTGCTCTTCATACCCCTCCTCCCTCTCTCTCCTTCCCTTGCTACCCCTACCTGTGCTAACCCCCCCCTCCCTCCCCCGCCTTCCGTGCACCTCCAGATGAGAGAATCGCCCTGCTAGGCGCCATCCAGGCACTGTTCGAAGCCAGCATGTACACGTTTGTGTTCCTGTGGACGCCCGCTCTGGCGCCCGCCTCGCAGCGCATCCCGCACGGGTTCATCTTCGCCTCCTTCATGCTCGCCTGCATGATCGGCTCCTCCCTCGCCTCCCGCCTCCTCGCCCGCGCCACCGCCGCCACCACCACTACTATCACCACCACCTCCTCTTCCTCCTCTTCCTCCTCTTCCTCCTCCTCCGCCTCTGCCGCATCTGCCTCTTTAGTTTCCTCCTCCTCCGCCACCTCTCTGGTTTCCTCTGCCTCTGCGTCCTTTTCGCAGTCCTTAGTGCAGGTGGAGGGGTACATGCAGGTGGTGTTCCTCGTGGCTGCTGCTGCGCTCTCCGTGCCTGTATTCATCCATGTGAGTGCTGCTAGCCTTACCGTTGCTCTCCGCCGTACGCCCCTGCCCCCCCACTGCAGCGCTGCATCTAATTCTGCTCTGCTCTGCTCTGCACCCCGTGTCGGACTGCCTCACCTCACCAGGCACCTCCACTGCTCCCCCATTACTTCCCTTCCGCCCCACCCCCCACTTCCTGCCCACCCACCACCTCCCCTCTCCCCGTAACCCCCCTCTCCCGCCCTTTCCTTCTTCCTCCCTCACAGCATTCCACATAGTCAGCGCCACCAGGGGCGACAAGCATCACGGCAGCGGGGCACGTGCAGTGCAGCTGGGAGCGTTCTGTGTGTTTGAGGTGTGTGTGGGCGTTTTAGCGCTCATGGCCATGCTCGCACACTTCCCCTCTCCCTTTCTCCCCCTCCCTTCCCCAACCCCCACTTCCTCCCGCTGTTCCACATTTCCGCTCTCCCCATACCCTCCTATCCCGCTCCCCCCTCCCCGCAGTTTCCGCCCTCACAGCACTTCAATGAACCAGCGCCACCAGGGGCGACAAGCATCACAGCAGGGGGGCAGGTGCAGCTGGGGGCGTTCTGTGTGTTTGAAGTGTGCATGGGCGTGTTGTGGTTGCCGCTCATGGCCATGCGTGCACACCTTCCTTCTCCCCTTACCCCCCTCCCCCTCTCCCCCTCTCCCCCTCGCCCCCCTTCCTCCCTCAGCACTTGATAGAACCGGCCCCACCAGGGGCCACGAGCATATCAGCAGCGGGGCAGGTGCAGCTGGTGGCGTTCTGTGTGTTTGAGGTGTGTGTGGGCGTGTTCTGGCCGTCGCTCATGGCCATGCGTGCGCGCTACATCCCCGAGGAGGCGCGCGCCACCATAATGAACTGCTTCCGCATTCCCCTCAACATCTTCGTCTGCCTCATGCTCTCCGATGTGCGTTCCGTACCCCTGACCCCTGACCCCTGACCCCTGACCCCTGAACCTAAACCTTAAACCCTTGGTGACTTTTGAGTTGACTCTAAATGCCCGCGCCACCATAATGAACTGCTTCCGCATTCCCCTCAACATCTTTGTCTGCCTCATGCTCTCTGGCGTGTGAACCCTTTAGGCCGTGAGGTGCTAGTTGATCTTTGAGTCCACTTGAAATGCCCGCGCCACCATTATTAACCGTTTCTGCACCCCCCTCAACATCTTCGTCTGCCTCATGCTCTCCGATGTGCGTTCCCCTGGGTGTGCCACTCTGTGCGGTGCGGTTCTGTCCCGTGTGGTGTTATGCTGTGGTGTACGGTGCAATGCGGTGCTGTGCTTGCTGTGCTGTGCTGTCCATGCGCGTATGGGGCATGGATACATAAAGCAGTGCTTGGCGTTGTGGAGTCTTGTCCATGAATCTGTGCATGCCTTTCATCACAATAATCACCAGCAACACCGTGCTGTCTCTGTTTTTGAGTCGACTCAAAAATAGACAATCACCAGCACCGTGCTGTCTGTGTCGTATCCATGCTGCTCCCATTTTTACCTCTTCTGCTCTGTCCCATCTCTCTCTCTCCCTATGGCGGGTGCAAGTTTTGTAACTTCGATGCGCCTCCTCTGCCTCCACCCTTCCCACACACCCTTCTCAAACAGTCCTCTCTATCTATGCTTGTGATTGGTACAAGCAAGACGGTCAAAGAAGGTCAAAGGTGTTCAACAAGCAGATATACCTCTCCACCATAAACCCTAATTCCTTCTCTATCTCCATTCACTCGTTATGTTGGAGTAATTTTCTAGAATTCTCAGAAACGACTCCAGGATATCTCGTCCTTTTACTCCACTCCGCCCCTCCTAGCCACCCTCCCCCCCGCTCTTCACGCAATGCCCCATCATTCCGAGCCGCCCTTTCCCCCCCAAGCAGGTGAGTGCGGGGGCCATGACGCCCATGTTCGCCATGTGCTGCGCCTTCCTCACCATCGCCGCTGTGCTACAGAGACGCCTCATGCTGCTCACCACCAAGCCTGGTGCCGCTCATTCTGGATACGGTGAGCCTGGGAGGGACAAGGGAGGGACAAGGGAGGGACAAGGGAGGGACAAGGAAGGGAGCACCCAAGGCACATGGTATCCCTGCCGGGTTGGAACTTGGAGTTTAAAAGGGAGAGATGGATTGGAGTGATCTTTTCCCTGGTTCCCTCCATGCTTGTTGTGGTACACACAGCACACATGCATGTGGTGTGAATAAGGACTCACATACCGCATTCCAGGCCCCTAGAGGCCTCTGTTATATATATATATATATATATATATATATATATGAAAGAAATTAGGTTCTTAGCCTATTATGTAGAAACACCCGCACTGCCATCATGCATTTCAATACCGAAAGAAAGGTGGGAATACGGTACTTGTTGCCTGCAGTCGCACATCTGCATCCCTCCCCTAACACCCATGCATGTGAATCCAGGCATGTGCAAAGCATTCATTGGCTTGTGTTTTTTGCTCTTGTGCCTTTCCCCCCCTGTTGACCCTATGACAATACGGTGTGCCTACCTTACAGCACTCGTTGATACCGACAAGGATCCGAATCTGGACTCCGATCAAAGTGCAGACTTATGATTCTGATGGCTATTAATAATGTATCTACAGAATGCAGTTCACTCACTAGTTATTTTCAAAGCCAAGACCGTGCATTCATAAGGTGGGTTCGCTTGAGGAGGGCAGTGCAAGCAGGCCTCTGGCAAGGTTTTGAACCCCTTTTCTCATCAGGCTACCGTATGTCCCTTGCCCCAAAGTTAGAAGCAATGGAATGATGAGATTAGCAAGCATGGGTGATACAAGTACTAATCCTAAAAGTGTTATACCCCCTACAGCATGCCTCACCACAGCCTAAAACAATATATATAGTTTGACACACCCCCATAGGGATGACACGAGAGAAAAAGCACAAATGGTCACTGACAAACATGTTTTAGGTTATAGGCTACAGTGAGGTACTCACTAGAAGGTACAACCCAATTAGGGTTTACTTGTATCTCATTGCTGTTAATCATCCTCATTTCAGCTGTTCACACTTTTGACATGGTATCAGAGCCTCGGTTAGGATTGATCCTAGCAACTAGGCCCGTTACTGCCCACGCACCCTACCCAGTGCGCCCCTACTGCCCGCGCGCCCTGCTGCCCGCGCGCCCTGCTGCCCGCGCGCCCTGCTGCCCGCGCGCCCTGCTGCCCGCGCGCGCCTGCTGCTCGCGCGCGCCTGCTGTTCGCACGCCCTGCTGCCTTCACGCGCCCCTGCTGCCCGCGCGCCTCTTCTGCCCGCGCGCCCTGCTGCCCGTGCGCCCCTGCTGCCCGAGCGCCCCTGCTGCCCGAGCGCCCTGCTGCCCGCGCGCACCTGCTGCCCACACGCCCTGCTGCCGCGCCCTGCTGCCCGCGCGCCGTGCTGCCCGCACGCGCCTACTGCTTGCGCGCGCCTGCTGCCCGCGCGCGCCTGCTGCCTGCGCGCGACTGCTGTCCTCGTGCCCTACTGCCCGCACGCGCCCTGCTGTCAGCGCGCCCCTGCTGCTCGCGCGCGCCTGCTCTTCCGCGAGCCCTTCTCTGCCCCGCGCGCTGCCCGCGCTGCCCCGCGCGCCCTGCTCAGCCGTGCGAAGCGGCGCGCCCTGGCCTGCCGTGCCCCGCCCGCGCGCCCTGCTCTGCCCGCGCGCCCTGCCCTGCCCCGCGAGCCCTGCCCTGCCCAGAGCACCCTGCCCTGCCCCGCGCACTCTGCCCTGCCCCGCGCGCCCTGCCCTGCCCGCGCGCCCTGCCCTGCCCCGCCCGCGCGCCCTGCTCTGCCCGCGCACCCTGCCCTGCCCCGCGCGCCCTACCCTGCCCGCGCCCCCTGCCCTGCCGCTGCCGCTGCAGTCACTGCAACAGCCGCTACTGCTGCTGCAGCCACCGCACCTGCCACTACTGCTGCTGCAGCCACCGCACCTGCCACTACAGCGGCTCCTGCTACTGCTACAGCTGCAGCTGCAGCTTCTGCCACCGCAACTGCCGTTACAGCTGCCGCCGCCGCAGTCGCTACTGCCGCCTTTGCGCCGCTGATGCTGACTGCCGCTGCCTGTCATGACCACTATCACTATCGTAGCGGTTGACGCAGACGAGCGCCTTTTCGAGTTAGAGTTGTGGCTTGAGTGCCTACGTCGGTATCTCCGGCGTTTCATTAGAGATGGCGTCTCCCTGTTCGAGCACACGTCGGGGTCCCTTCAGGCCCCTACGACTCCCACTGAGCCTGCTGCTGACGCTGGCGAGGACGTGCAGTGGCGGTACCGGGCGGACCGCGTTGCCTGCACACTGTGGACGGAGCGCGACGCTGTCACCCAGCTTGCTGTTCGCGCTCACCTGCTGTTCGACCAGAGGGCCCACTTTCGTCAGGTGTCGTCGGCCCAGACTTTCTACGACGCTGTGGTTTGGCACTACTCCTCCCTCTCTCATGCCACCCAGCTGCTGCAGCAACGGCATCTTTTGTTCTGGGAGTGGCGGCACCTGGTCGAGGAGGCGAGTGTAGGTGCCTGTGAGTCGGCTCGCACAGGTGGTGCAGCTGGTGGAGGCGGAGGTTCTGAGGTGGACAGCAGCGTCAGCAGGAGACCCTCTCGCCGCAGCAGCTTCGTGAGTACAACGACGCGTCCCTGGTAGTGTATAGGCTACTAGTCTAGGTGCTTGTGACGCTGCTAGCACAGGTGCAGTATGTCAAACTATAATTGCTATAGTTTGTTAGTTTAGTCTAGGTGTTACACTGAGTTATGCTGTAGAGGGTACAACCCCCTTTAGGGTTTCCCATATGTTTCCTTGTACTGCTTGTTTCTAGTCATTCATTCTTCCAGTTCTCTCTTTAACATGGTATAGAGCATAGTACGTTCCCATGGGCCCACCTCCGCACGCCTTGTTAGCTGCTCGCTTGTTTTAGGTTTCTGTCCGATCGTCGCTCGATTGCCGCCCGTAGCACGTTCGCCACCCGTTGGCTCGGTCGTTTTGGGGTTTCACCCGTTAGCCGCCCGATAGCCGCCCGTTAGCCGTCCGTTCGCAACCCGTTCGCTGCCCGTTGCCCGTAGCGCCCTCGGCAGGTCCGTCACCTAGTGCGTCCCGTCACCTCGTCAGCCTTCGTTCGTCCCGTAGCGTGCCCCCCCCCTGGGCCCTTCGTTTGTCCCGTGTCGTGCACCCGCGCGGACCTTTCGTTCGTTCAGTAGCGCGCCCCCCCCCCCACCCCCCCCCTCCCCCCCCCCCCCCCCCCCCTCCCCCTCCCCCCCCGCGGGCCTTAGTTCGTCCCGTAGCGCGGCCCCCGCGGGCCTTCGTTCGTCCCGTAGCGCGGCCCCCGTGGGCCCTTCGTTCGTCCCATAGCGCGGGCCCCCACGGGCCCTTCGTTCGTCCCGTAGTGCGGCCCCCGCGGGCCCTTCCCGTCTACCGTAACCCTAGCTCCCGTCACCCGTGGCCTGTCGCCCGTCACCCGTCTCCCCTGTAACCCTAGCTCCCGCCCGCGCGCACCTCGTAGGGCCAGCACGTACGCACCCGCGCTCAGACAGGCCGCGCACGCAGCCGCGCGCGCAAGCCCACTTAGCCGCGCCCACGCGACCGCACGCGCGTAGCCGCGCGCTCGCGGTCGCGTGCGCCCTTTTCCTAGGCCGCCCGCGTCCCTTCTCTTGGCCGCCCGTGCCCTGCATGATTTATTCAAATTAATTATAAAAAAAGAGCCAGCACCAGCCACTTCCATGAAGCGCCAGCATGCGCCAGCACTCGCGTTTAGCGCATCAGCAACAGCTTCGGCCGCCTTCAGTTGCACCAGCACCAGCTTAGGCCGTCCTACCACTCGTACTGTCGCCTCGACTGGCCCCTCCCCCGTACTCGCCTGCAATGTCGATGTGGCGATAGCGGCAGCAGCAGCAGTGACCGCAGCAGCAGCAGTGGCAGCAGCATCAGTGGCCGCGGCAGCAACAGTGGCCGCGACAGCAGTGGCCGCGGCAGCAGCAGTGGCCACCGCAGCAGCAGCAGCAGTAGCTGCGGGTTCAGCAGCAGCGCCAGCGGCAGCCTCCACTGCGGGGCCCAGTCGGACCCGGCCAGTACGCACACAGGTACGTGGGAGCCGCAGCTGCTGTGGGGACTTTTGTTTCCAGTCTAGGACCTCTGCCGGTTGCTGGAGTTGAGATTTGTGTTTCCAGTCTTAGTGCTTGTGTAGTTTCTAGCCTAAGACTACACAAGGACCCTAAATCCTGTACTCGTTACATACTGGGTCCCACCACAATGGCCCCGCCCTCGCTTGGGCGAAGCAGACTTCTCAGTCGAAGGCGCGCAGAAGTCGACGTCGACAGCCCGCAGAGTTCGACGTCGACCTGTCCGCAGAATCCGACCTCGACCTGTCCGTAGAGTTCGATCTCGACCAGTCCGCTGACGTCGTCCGCAGAGGACGCTGGTCGACGCGTCCGCAGAGGACGCTGGTCGACGCGTCCGCAGAGGACGCTGGTCGAAGCGTCCGTAGAGGACGTGGTCGACGCGCTCGCAGAGGACGCGAACGACGAGCTCGCAGAGGATGCGATCGACGAGCTCGCAGAGGACGCTGGTCGACGAGCCCGTAGAGAGATGCTGGTATACGGGCTCTACTCGACGTGCTCGCAGAGGACACTGGTCGACGAGCCCGTAGAGAGGTGCTGGTATACGGGCTTTGCTCGACGTGCTCGTCTAGGCGAATGCTGTTCGACGGAGCATCGTCGAGCTGGTCGACGCAAGTCGCTTGACTGCGAAATCCGACACGTAGGCGAATGTCGCCCAGGAGGTTTTCGCGAAGTCAACCTACGGAACGGCATCACGTGCTCGACGGTGCACGGCTGGCAAAACCGTCGACACGTGTTCTACCTGGCACCTGCGCAATGTGCCTGGCGGCGTGTCCGTCTACCTGCACCTACTTGGTAGGTGCGCACATGCTCAGAAATTCACCTACCTCTGCGGCGCTGGCAGACCGCTTCGGTGCAACGCTGTCAGACTACTCTGCTGCAGCGTTGGCAATCCGCTCTTCTGCTGAGCTGGCATAGTTCGCCCTGCAGAGGGCTCGTAGAGCTTGCTCGACCGCAACTTCTGTCGAACTGCAGAAGCCCACTTCTTCGACCAATCCGTCGAGAACTTCTCATCGACGGCGAGATCGGCTGCGCCCAAGCGAGGGCGGGGCCTTTCTCTTCGACAATCCGCAGCCGTCAGATCGAAAGCTACTTTCATCAACGGCTGACATTACAACCGTTTCATCCAAATTCGCCCAATGTATTTCAGCCGTCGGATTCAGCTGAAAAGGATATCCACGGTATCCTCGCTAGTGTGAGACCTATTTCAGTACAGGGCTGCCTTATTTAGAAGGTGGGAGAGTGTAAGGAATCACAATTCTTTACTGTATTGGCACTTTAGCGAGTACAACCGGAGGAGCACGCGTAAGTTCGGTTCGGCCTATTTCGTTGCCCCAAACCACTCCCGAGTCGCCGTCGCTCCAATCGCAACACTTTCCGAGCCATCCTCGCTCGGCCTCTTCGCCTAGCTAGGATTTCTCCTCTTTAGGCTCGCTACTTTCCTTGTACCGTCATTCAATATTCAACATTCTCGATATTCGT